ATATATATATATATATATATATATATATATATATATATATATATTCCCGGATGTATAAACGTTTTATTCCTTTTTCTCTAAGTGGAAAATGAAGCCAAAGGGAAACGAATTAATATTAATATTTACCTTTCCTCCACGTTCCCAGCGCACTAATGGCTCCTCGGGAGCGGCGTGTACCTTGCACTCGAGGGTAACAGCATCTCCGTCGCAGCATCTTAGATCTCGCAGTTCCCTCGTGACTACCGGCAAAGTCAGCACCTTTCTGCCAATCGAAGAATTCGCAAGCGTCATTTAGCAAACACGATCGAGATAGCCACTTAGCCAACGTTAACGATCGTTTCGCAAAAACTCGTCGCGAAACTCGTTACGTGTCGTGTCATGCAGCAGAATTTATCTACGTGGTAATCTAGAATACACGAATATGTACCACTTACCCGTGTGTGACCCCTGATTTCTTCATTTTCTCCTCCTTGCCTTGACCTGAAAGCATAATGCACGATCCTTTCGTCTAAGCAAATTGTCCATTGGTGTTCGTGCTTCTTTCGAATGCTAAGCGTTACCTTTCGCGTAGATCTGCAAAGAAATCACGGCTTTGGCCTCCCCATGGCAGTTCCGCGCTATTACGGAATACGTTCCCGTGAAGTCGAGTTTCGCGTACGGTATTTCCAGCCGGTACTGAGGTCCTTCGCCGACCAGCCGGAAGTGGGCTGCGTCCCTGTAGTAATCAGGCTGTAAAAAAGAGCGAAAATTAGAAATAACATGTAACAGAGAATTAATAATCTCAAGGATTCCCGCGAACGGTGATTCGCAAAATTATTCGTACGACTGAGAATTTGACAAGGATTTATTTCAGTTTTTGAGATGATGAAATTGTAACGAAATAGTTATTAGTTATTTTGTAATAAGAAGTATTTATTATTTGAACTGAAAAGTTTTTCTTTTTATCATTCATTACTGAAGTATTTATTATTCCATATATTTTTACATTCTCGATCGTTTGAATAATTTCCTGACTCACTGGAGAATGTAGAACACAGAATTTGAAATAAAGTTCAATTTATTGATATGGAAGTTTGATATGATTAAGTGAATTCCTATTGATTGCATTTAGTTATCTAAAAATGAATTGCTCTCTCTCTCTCTCTCTCTCTCTCTCTCTTTGTCAGATTAGTGGAACCAATCACAAACCATTGAAACTAATGTACAATTTTATAAATAAATAAATATATTTCATGTCTACAAATGAGATTTTGTAACGAACAGATCAAATGATTAAACAACACTTTCGTAACATATTTTGAAGCATAGAAATCTTTACCAAGAGTTTAAATGTGTACTCGTGTACGTTGCGTTTATCAAGAGCACGCACTCTGAGATCTCGCGCTACTGAACGCAACTTTTTATTGCTGACTACGATAACACGTAATCTGAGTGCGTGCATAAATATCCAACGCGGACTCACGTTGGAAGAATCATCAAAGAAGAGAGGAGAAAGATCATTTAGAAGTTTTGATTTCCAATAGTTTACCCTGTTAATGGGAGCTAATCTCGAAGTGCAACCTCGACTTAAATACTGACATTTCCGTGACTCTTACGTCCACACTGTCACCCTTTGATTCAAAAATCGGCTGCCGCTACTTTTATCGTTTCTTTTGGAAAATCGTAAAATTTCGAGATCTTTCACCTTGCCACTAAGATTTTCAATATATTTATTCCAGCAGTATACTCTTCCTATAGATTTTGACAAGTAGAATTATTGTTATCATCATGTGTTTCGCAGAATTTTCGATTTTTAGTTTCTCTTACTTAATTCGCAGATTTTGTAATATTCTTTGAGCACCGTGTCGATTTCTCTAATTTTAAGTAAACATCCTTTATAAATTCAAAAAGATTTGGGATTAGAATTGAACTGACAAAATGTTGTAGATATTTAGAGATAAAATCGGGTAGAAAGAGAAGGAAGCGAAGTTGATAAAAGTGAGACGGGAAACGTCTTCGTCGGGGCTCTAGTCCATATAGGGAGCGAAAGTTGAAGCAGATCGTTCGAGACTGATCTCGTTGCTCGTATGACACGAGTGCCAACGCATATTACCGTTCTTTTTCTTTCTTTTTTTTCTTCTTTTTTTCGTTGCTAATTGCGCGTCTCTTTGTCGGACACGCCCTTCTTAAAACTCTCGAAAATTAAGGTCGCTGAGGAAGAATGGCTCGATTGTTTTTGGGCAATCGTAAACATCCAATTAAATCCATTTAAATTGCATTTCATTGTTTTCAATCTGCTGTCTTGGAAGAAAATAATTTCCTTATCAGAACATTCTTCTTTGTCGTTAACAGAAAGTCTAAGTTTAACGTGACAGATGCTCGGGATTCAATATTCAGTGTGGAGAAACATGTCAGGCGGTGAACACCGAAACCGACTTTGATTTATAGCGGCGCGGTTGTCATCGCGAAATGAAGTTTTCAGTATCTCTAATGCTCGAACTCGAATCGTGACATAATGGATCTTCTGAGACCCATCTGTCTTTCACCTGTCTCGCTTCGCCTACGATGAAATTTATGCGGACGACACTTCCAGTTACGGAAGAGAGGCGCCATAAACCGAAGCAGAACCGGCTACTGCAAGGACTTCTTGCAATGTCATCTTATATATAGATCTATATTTATGCGTGTAAAACAGATTGCCGACATAAAGGAAATCTGCTTGCCGATGGATGCATAGGCGGGTAAAAACTTTGCGCCTAGTTCTTGGGAATATTTTTTGTTTTATAGTTGACAGATCGACGATATGACTTTTGTTAAATTTAGATGAAGATTAATATTCTTTACGGAGCATTTTGCTACATCTAATTATTTTACCAATTTTATTTTACATAACTGTTTTATATAACTATTATATTATAATTACAAAAAATCCACTCGTGTGATAGATGGTCCTATACTTGGATAATAATAAATTCTTCTATACGCACAATATACCTCAAAATAGTAAATTCTTAATAAATCTCAGATTAAAAAAAATTACCGTTCTTCACATTATGCAAATAGCCAATTAATTCGGGTAGAGATATTTTTATTAAAATCGACACATCTACTTTCAACTTCGCATTTGCAACTGTTCATTGGCAAATGTCGCAATTAAAATTTCGACAAGCAAGAAACGGAATATTCGCGATTTTTGAGCAACGAGGATCGGCCCCTATCGCGAAATCGTCGCTCGTTTCTCCCCATTTAGCAGTTGCAGCTGCACTGAAAACAAACTTGGACGTATTTGGCGGTGCACATTGATAGTCGTGACGCGTCGCGTCCCTCCGATCGCGCGACAGAACGAAAGAACGAGAGAGGAAACTCGGACTCGGCCAATATTACGGCGAACAGGCGCTGACATTCGCGCTTAAGCGTCGACCAGTTCGATGAATGTCCTAACGAACACCGCCGAGATCGACGGATGACTCACGCCGCGGAGATCACGGCTTCGAGATCTTACAGAACCGATTAGATCCTCGATGATATTTCAATAAACTCGGATCGAAACGAAACATAAAAATTTCACCGGCAAAAATGAGGATAGTATTATTGTCAAATGGGAAAATGATATTGAGCATAGTAGATTTTAGTAGAAATTAAACGTGGCTAAGTGAGAGGAGCGTGGGAGTAATATAATTGTTAGACGAAAGAAGGATCTTTTATGCAAATTAATGTTTTTATGATTGTCATTGAAAAAGTGCAACCTGTACACAGAAATTTAATACTATTGTAGAACTGTTAGAGTAGTCAAAATGATCGATTTGTAATTTCTTAGATTTACAACGTTTGCGAAGATTATTTGAATGATTTTTTTTTTTGTATTTTTTCTATTCCTTGCAGTTTAATCTCTCTAATGTATAAATTTTATACTTCGATCGTTTAATAGTTCTAGTTTTAATTATTTTATATAATTATCTATCTAAATATTTGACATATGAACATTCTGTTTATAATTTAATACACTTAAACTTTTTGTCGTTATACGAACACGCGCGGTTTAGATATTCGACACCGAATGCAGTAAATTTGTGCATGGAAGAAGTCGTAGAAAAAAAATATTGAATAACATCTGCGGGATTCGTGTAAATGTTTATACGAGTAATTTTGTAGATTTATGTAAATTTGACGTCAAGTAGAAAAGGAAACATCGGCTGTTAAGTGGAAATTGCACAAAAACGAATTCGTAGACTTGTGAAAATTTAGTATTGAATAAAAATGATCATCGAGTATTGTTTCGAAAATACATAAAAATATTCGCACGTTTTTAACTACTTGGTGTTTGTTTGTTTTTTTTTCAGTAAAATTACGATCTTATATTTTAGAAAGAAGAAGCATAACAGTAAAACTGATAAATATGAATCGAGTTTTTGATTGATAAGCTAATTCTCATAGCTATTATATAGATATCAAACGAAAGTTAAACTTTGCGTCTAGTTAAAAGACACTGAACTTTTGTAAAATAATGATCGAAAGTTACCATTGCTTTGACTACTAATCGTTGAAACAAGAAATTCCAAATATAAATAAATATTATCCAAAGAAGAATCTTAAAAATTGCAACTCCGAAAGAAACAAATCCAAACTCAACTTCAAGCTAGATTGTTGTAATTCTTCCAATATCTCAATGTTTCAAAAATAATGAAAAAGAGAAATGTTTCAAAAAATACGCGAAATAATGAAATAAAACGAAAGAAATTGGTTTCTGCTTACGTTCTGAATTTCCACATCGAATATATCCAAATCCAAGACGAATCAGCCGACAGGGCGATTAGTGCTCAAAATGACAGGTAAAATATCACTTCCTTGGTCAAGAGATTTTCAACAAGTACTCGGAGTAGTTTGAACAAAAAATATCCATGTCACTTATCGATCGCAAAAGCTAAGATCTGGAGGGATCGTTGGAGGACGAATGGCTATTCGTTGGCCAAAGACATGCGACGACTGTTTTGCCGCCAGTGCTTTTGCACTACCGATCCATCGACGAAGAAAGTCGACTTCATCGGGAAAAGTGGGGAGTCTCTTCTCTGTACTCTTTTCGATAATGCAGATATCCCCTGTGACGCGAATATATATACTATACATGGTCACCAAACGCTTCCGGTTTCTTTTTTGATTTTGTATAAATCTAAACTTCTATTTGTTTGGCAAATATGCTTTCGTTGTTATTTACCTTTTTAAAAATATAAATACTATATTTATACTTCAAATACTTTCTTTTAAATATAAATACTATATAAATACTATATAGTATATAAATAATAATGATATACTTGTATTTATAGTATGAAAATCGAGTAATTAAATATACAAGAGGTATATTATATTCAATTAAAAATCTTCATTATTAAGAAGCTTCCAATATTATATTTTTCATTTTACTTTTAAAAGATGTTTAGCGTCATCGCTAGAGTGACGTCAATGTATTTAAAATTACTATTAATTAGCATTCGTTGGCCGTAGTTTCGCGCGTGCTATCACCAGAATAAACTCGAAAGAGTTTCGTACGAAAGACCACATCATATGAACACGTGAATGGAATTGGGGATAACACATTCATTCGTCAAATTTTTCGTTATTATGTCGTGTCAATCCGGTAAATGTTTTTTACATCAAATTGAACCATGGCCAATTTTTCTTCGTTTGTCAATAATGATGCAATAGAATACGATCTCCGTTTCAGGGTAGATAACTATACTGACTACACCTTCGTTCACAAGTATTAGGATTAGGAAATCCTTGAGAATTTTTATCTCGCATTTTATGCAGGTGAAAATAAATGAATTTTCTTTTTCATTTGTAATCATTTAATTCATCAAATGTTTTAATAGAATTCTGACCATTATTCATTTATTACAATTCTATAGCTTTTGCAAAGACTTTCAACTCTTTTGCACTGAATACTAAGATATAAATTATTAAGTATAATTAATTATTGATAATCCGAATGATCTAAGTTATTATTCACGTTTATATGAAGAATTGGATACCATAATAGTCCAAGTTTCATTGTATTCATTAAATTCATTGTTCTATATTCTTAGAAGAAGGTTTATTTAATTATTATAAATGATTTAAAAATTAAAACACGTGTCTAAATTCAAATTCCTAAAAGTTTGACTTAGACACATTGTACACTACGATCTAACTGTTTAACTTTTACTATATTATTTAATATATTATTTAATTGTCACGAATGATTTAAACATCGAAGCATAAATCTGTATAAATTCAAATTCCTAAAATTTCGACTTGGATACCTGTGATTTTCCATCAGACACAAAACATCAGTATTTCAATACTTCTGGACGATAGTGTAGCTCGAAGTAGTTTCGTCCGTTCAGTGATCAGACCGCAGTAACAAGAGCCACTGGACGATTCCCATTGTTGTTGGGACCTTCCAAGCGATTGAGCAATAAATTTCTCTCTTTCTCCCAGAGCCGGGTGTCTAACCTCACTTACTGTTACCTTTTAAAGTGCCGTCCAATATCAATGCCGTTTCCCCGACGCATATAATGCCTGGCCCATTTATGGGCATAATGCGGTATGTTACGTTGTCATTTCTTTTTCGCAATCACCTTGACCCACATCATGGATCAGCGTGGCATTAGGGACACGTCATTTCACCAATTGCACAATGTCTCTCTTTTTCTTTTTCTCCGTCGTTCCCTGTTCATTCGATCAACCACCCGCCGATCTATAGACTCTCCATGCGATAAAAATCGACTCGTGCGAAAGATTCACTTGAGTCAGTCAATTTTATCAAGTTCGATTTGATCTTCCAATTTTTCGTCGGTTTCGTTTAAGAATAACTTCGTTGGGGAATAACGATGATGATTGATGAAGACTTGGTAAAGTCCAAAGAAAAGTCATCAATTCGTTTGAGAATGTAGAATGTGTTACGTGTTGGTCGTGTGTCATTGATTTTTTTTCTATAGTTGTAACTTGTATATTATTTGTAATGATTATTGAATTCATGCATATTGGAGATTTAAGTTTTAATTGAGTTATATATTTGATAAGAGCAACTCTCATTTTATAGAGCAATTCTCATATATATATTTGAAAAGAGTAGTTTTCACTTTGAAAGTACTTTAGAGTTATTTTGGAATTATTTTAAATAGAGGCATTTAGAGTTACTTTAGGGAGAAATTTTCTTTAATACAAAATCTCATTTAAAATATTAAATAATTTCATGTTTTTATATCTTCTTCACATGCACTCAAACTTAAATTTCCTCGCTAAATTTCGTAATAATTATTTTCAAAAGCAAAGACAGACTGGCAAACAGTATGTATTAAGTTCTAAACCAAATTCCAGATATTTAAAATATTTCAAATAGTGCCAAAACTCAAGTTTCTTTGACGCATAATTTGAATATCTGAAATATTGTTGAAATTGTACAACATTGAAACGGCGAATAAACAATCTTACCCTGAGAAAATCTCGCAGCCACATCACTTCCGGTTTAGGATCACCGACTACTTCACAGGATATAATGACTGTATCGCCTTCAATCGCCTCGGTAGACAATGGCTTCGTGACGAAAAGAGGTTCCTTCGAGTATCTACAAATTTCCATCAAAACCAAATACAATTCATCTCAGTTATGTAAATGTAAAATGATCTTCATTTTGGACGGATTATCGTGAAGAACCTACGGTATGTCTGGCATAGGCGCGATCGTCACAGTTGGCACTCCTTCGACAAACCTCTCATCATTTTGCGTTTCAGTGCCAATAATGGACACTCTTGTTGAAGTCTCGGCACAGCCAACCTCATTCGTAGCTGTGCAACAATAAACGCCGACGTCCCTTTGGGTGACCTTGGCCAAGGACAACTCGACGGTACCATCGTGGTTCAAGGTCATCACCGTTCTTCTGCTCGGTCGTAAACGAATTCCATCGCGATGCCTGAAGAAACAATTCAAATCGATCAACGTTGGAACGATGGACGTTAATAAATAAATGTTTCATGTTTTCGATAGATATTAATTTTTTCACGCATCATTGACAGATTTAAATGAAAATTAGATCGAGATATTTTCTGTTTCTGGATATGAAAGAGTTAACGAAGTTTAATATAGACTAGAAATAAGTTTAATATAGAAGTTTAATATAGTTTCTGGATATGAAAGAGTTAACGAAGTTTAATATAGACTAGAAATAACTTTGTTTTAATTTCCTTTTTCAATTTTCCTTTGCCTTTCATTTTGTAAAATATCTCGTTTATTTACTGTTACATAAACAAATGAAATTACATCGTTCGATATTTTGTCCTCGATTATTCTCAAAATTATCATAATAATATTGATTCTACAATTGAAAGAAAGTACTTTTTTTTATTATTGTCGTTGTTGCTGTTATTATAATATTGTTGAATCGTAAAAAATTTGTAGATTTCCAATTTGCTAAGTAAATGCTTACCACACAATGCCGACACTAGGATACGCCTCTATTTGAGCTGTCATTCGCAAATCTTCGCCTAATTTCACGGTGTAAGCAGCATCAAGATCACAGAGAAATTCTGGAGCGATATAAGCGCGAATTCCTTTGTCCACTACCAGGATACATCGACAAGATACCGAACCACTTGCGTTCTTCGCCATTACCATGTAACAGCCAGAATCTTCCAGCACGGAGTGGATAATCTCCAGAGTGTAGAAGTTCGAATCATTGTTCCAAAATACGTGACGCTCTACGGAGGAATGGAAATTGAATCTCGGCCGAAAATCATACGAGCTAAAAGGAAATATTAGTGTACTTACCATCTTGACGAATCTCTTCGGCATCCTTATACCACGTGACTTCTGGAGCCGGATTTCCTGTCACTTGACACGTGAGTCTCACCGGGTAGGATACTTGAACTCTTCTGTCTCGAAGTCTCATTGTGAATTCTGGTGGTCTGTCTTCTGTTTCATCTCCTAGGGCTCTGTGTATTGATATTATATTATTCAAGTGTTAAATAATACAATAAATTGAAATTATATAATAATTGTTGAAGTTATTTTAATGGAAAGAGATTGTAGGAAAATTTGTAGAAGAAAAAGCATTTATTGATTCCAAATTAAAAAAATGTCAGTGGATGGATCACAAATTTTGATAAACTGTATAGATTTTTATTTCATATCTTTGCTTGAAGATATTGGATATTTTTTTGAAAAATCTAATTATTATAGAGTTATAGTTAGACTGTGGATGTTTATGCAAATTTATAACTTCATTAATACAATTATAGGAAAGGAATAGAATATCCTCAACAGAGATTTATATTATTTTGTAGATAAAAAATTTATCTTCAGATATTTTGTACATAATATATATTTTTGTAGACAACGTAGAATATTATACACAAATATCCATAATTTTTAAACGATTTATTATTTAAATCTCGTGTCGATCGTGCATACCTCGATCTAAATTTCTCATCAGCCTCGATAATTTTCGGGTCGTTGACAACCAGAACTCTAGCGAACGACGACACCTTTCCAACCGAATTACCTGCCTCGCAAACGTATCTCCCACTATTGATCTCCTGAACGTTCCCAATCGTCAAACAACATTTGGATCCAGTGTGAGAAATCGACAATCTGGTGTCGTTGGGATCAATTTCCATCGACTCGTAGTACCATTTTATGTCCACCTTTGAATCAGCTCGAATCTGAAAAACATTACACACAGATTCATAAATCTGTTGCCGCCTTCTGACCAATTGTCGGTTACGACTAACAAAAGTAGGTAACGATTGACTAACAGCAGCGCACTTGCCTCGCATTCTAGTTTCACCGTGGTCGCCTCGAGGACTTTGAGCTGACCTGGAAGGATCTTCGTGAACTCTGGAAGGTCGACGGTCTCGCTGACCTTGACAGAATTCGTCATAGTGACGGACTCGCCCCATCCATAGCGGTTTCGTGGGGTTACTTGGAACTTGTATTCGCCACCAGGTTTCAGATTGAACGCGTCGAACGCGTTTATTGGCGTCATACCCAACTGACAGTGCACAAAGAAAATTAAATTTTTATATATTCAGGCATAAGACTGTTCGTGTTCTTTTTTTTTTCCACTTCAATTCCTGTCAGTTTCATTAATGAGACATAAAAGATCTCGAAAGTGAAAAATTATGGCTTAGTGACAAGTTGAAGCATCTTACTATGTAGATTCCTTGAGGATTGCAGATTGTAACGGAAGAAAGATTTATGTTAGTACGTAAAGATTCACGTAACTGTGACATATGAGATCTCAAGAGTTGTCAAGAAGTCCATCGTGCGAAATTCTCAGAGTCTAAATGCATTTCGTCCAACGATTTTGCCAACTGATTTTTAGATATTAATAATAGTTTCCTTCTCGATGAGAAGTAAATCCTTTTAGCATTTGCTACTTGACTCTCCAAGATCCAAGATTGAAAGAATGAGATATAATATCGATGATACCTCGACCCATCTTGCACCACCATCACTGCCAAGCAACCAAGCGTCGACTCTGTAAGCGATGACAGGTGCTGGTCCTCTCTTCTCTGCTTTTCCCCAGCTCAAAGACAACCAGTTCTTTCCTCCATCGACCACCACTGGCTCGCTCGTAATTGGCCCTGGAACATCTGACAGGAACAACCACTCTCACCCTTGATTTTTACATCAATCAATTTTCGGGAAATTTTCATAGAAATAATTAGTCCCAAGGTATATTTTGTTTTAAGATATTCATCGTTTTTCAACTCGTTTGTATCCCACTTTCGTAGTAATTTTCACGAAAGTTTGGTATAAATAATTAAATAATTAATTTAAAATAGACTCGAATTTAAGACATTAGTTTATTTCATACAGTCTCAGACAGATTTTACAAAACTCTAGCTAACCTCTATGCCCATACAAATACTCCAAAAAATCGATGATCAAGCAATCCTTCTCAGACCACGATCGCCTCAAACGACAAATCGTCGTATCTTCGTCGTCGTTCACGATCCCATGATCGTGAGGCTTCATCCTCGCTGCAGTTTTACTTCACATTTCATTGCAACTTTTCATCGATGAAGATCACAACCTTCTTCTCACAATTAAACAAACTACCCTCGAATCGGCTTTGAATCGTTGTCGTATATTACGAAAATCATAATTATTCGATAATTATATTCCTATCCCGAACGTTTGCAGAAATTGT